TCATCCCTCAGCTATCACTCAGTGAACTGTCAGAATCATCAGAGTATCCAGCTCAACAACAGATAAAGTTTCCCTCCATCCCTTAGGAAGGACACATACATTTCCTAGAGATCCGGTCTGAGCAACACATACCTTTGTTAATAAGAATTGGCCTTAATTAACAGGATGGTTAAAAGAAACAGAGTATTTTAGGTGCCTAAGTTTTCTCGTATCTGTAGTTTAAACAGAAACCCATATTTTAAATAAAAGTCCTGTTGTTGATGATGGGCCCTAGTCCTACTTTTTTTCTTTAACTAAGATAAGTAATTTTAACCTTTCTTTCCTTTCTCAGTATGAAAAATGGCATCACTATTTGTTATGAGAGAACAGAAAGAAGGTGTAGGAGAACAGGGCAGTAACTCCAGTGTGTTTTCTGAAAGGTTTTTTCCTCAAAGGAATACTTTCCTACTGGTTTTCTATGGCTTTGTCTTTTCACCAAGTGAGATAACAAAAACCCACTAGTACTTTCACCTGCATTCTAGCTAGTTGAGGTTTAGAGCAGAGAATGACTTACGTACCGAACTTAAGCTATGAATCTTATTTTTAAAACATAATTTAACATAATACCTTAGATTTTTTTAAAGTTAATTTTGAAATCCTTCAAAAAGCCTAGAGGAGAAAGAAAAAAAGTTGTTCACATTCTATACTGTGTTAATGGCCAACAACTAACACGCAAATTGGTCATAATGTTGTTTTTCTTCCTTTTGGCCGTAATGGTTCATTTGTTTTCTTTTATTAGTATTTTCTAGAGAAAATATAGTAAGAAATTATTTATTAGGTTAATGTTCCCAATTTTGAGAGATATACTGATATATACCATATTGAGAAGAACCTTTCATTTTTCACATAATATACACTAGACACTTGACTAAGAGAACAACTTGTTCCTAATCCTTCTTTTCTTTTCTTCTTTATGATGTTCCTCATTAGCACCAAAAATTTTCTAGTACCTTTCAAAACAATTACATATAAAAAATAGCATGTACAACTCCCTACATTTTTAAATGTTTTATAATGGTCTAAATACTTTCAGAGATGAAATCCCCCCCCCTTTTTTTAGTTGTAGATGGACACATACCTTTATTTTTTATGTGGTGCTGAGGATGGAACCCAGTGCTTCCCACATGCTAGGCAAGTGCTCCTCCATGAGCTACTACAGAAGTCCTGAAATCCCTTTTTGATATTTAAAAGCAATCTTATGAGAATATTGGACCCTGAGGCTAGGTGAGGGTGAATGGCCTGAAGCCATAGAGCTGGAGGGAGAAGGGCCAAATCAGAGGCCAAGGACTTCTGACTTCTGCTCCAGTGTGCTTCCCTGAAAGCTAAGGAAGCTGCTTCAGTATTGAAGTATTTAAGAGGGTGGATGGATTCCTGTCTGTTAGATGGAATCCAATCCTGGATCTAATTGACTTCTGACAAGTGTGCTCACTCAGGAGGATGAGAATACTTCTTTCTTCCCCGGGTTTTTTGAAGAGTAAATCAGAGAGTTTAGCAGAATGCCTGGCACGTGATAAGCGCTCTGTGCATGTTATTGTTATTTTTTATTACATTCAAGTTCTTTACCTTACTGAAATTTCGCCTTACTCTCTGGTCCAACTGCAGTTTTCTAGCTTTGCTTGTTCTTCAGAACCTATATCCTCAATAGGAATCCTTTGCTTGGAAGCTGAAGGACATTGTATCCTTGATTGTGCATCTTTCATGAATGTGAAGAGGAAGTCACAACGCATCATGTCTTATCTTAAAGAAGCCCATAGAACTAGTCTTTTATTTATTTTTTACTGACCACAGTTTGCATACCCTGCTATAGTTACCCTAAAACTCTTCCTGAACCCCAAAGTCACTAGTTCCTCCTTTGTGTTCATTGCTTTCAGGAAATGATCATGCACTGATTTATTTTTTCAATATTGAGGTCATACTCTTGTCCCTCAATGTCTCTGTATTTACACCTGACTACTCATCTTCTCCTTCTGTCTCAGAAACAGTAACCTCTTTTATGTTCTAGTGACCTTGGGAGGGCCCTCCTTTTCTCCTTTAGAATATTACTCCAACAATTTTCTCTCTCGTTTGTCTGGGGTCCCAAGTTCTCCAGGCTCAACTACCTGCCACTTTCCTGCCCATGCCATATGCTCTCCACTGCCTCCGTGTCTTTGCACAAACTGCTGTGCCAACTAGAAATTTTCTCTGTGAAAATTTCCTCCTTGAACACTAGTATCATCTCCTATCTGGATTGTCACTCTCCCTTTGCATTCCCATAACTGTTAAGCCATTGCTCCACCAAGTGACTGTGAGCTTCATGGGGAAGGACACCATGTCTTCACAGACACCAAAACAACATTAGTAGAAGAAAGGGAAGTCCTACAAATAAGCATATGTCTTTCCTACAATTTAAGAATAAACTCCGCTTGACCCTGTTAATGGTTTCTGCTTGTTCTTCCTTTGATAAACATTCTACTTCCTCATCACACATTCCCTTGCACACCACTATTAAATCCATTAAAAATACTCTTTTAAAATCAACAAAGAGCTTCCACGTGGACCACATTCTCCTTCCTGAGACCTTCACACAGCTTCTGTGACAGTGTACAATTTCGGCCTTCCATGTCTCCAAGACCTTAACCTTTCTTGATTTAATGACTCTTCTTTCACCTAGTTCCTCCATGAATATACCCACTCTTGGTTTTAACCATCACCTGTATGCAGACACGTGCAAAGTTTCTTTCTATTCTAATGAGAGTCCCAATTAGTCCACCAAGATTGATTTAGGATTGTTCGTTCCTTATGGTGCAGCAGAGGTAAATACCTGGCTTTCATGCCCACTTGCCACCGTCTCACCCAGAACAGAGATTGTCCTCCCAGTCATGCCCCTTTCCCAGTAAGGACAGAATCCTTTTCATTTCCCACCTCTGGTCCTTGGCACACGTGCTCTGTCTGGTTAAATTTTTTACTATTTATTTATTCCAAGCAGCTGCCTCTTGATGAATAATATAAAACGTACTAGTCATTCCTGTAGTAGAACATTGACTCATTTCCCACTAGCATATCAAATTCAATGTGTTTAAAATCCATATCTTAACCTAACATCCTATTTATGACTACCCTAGTTCTGTAACTTGTTTCACTTTTGCCCAGATGACTGTCAATCATCTTTGCCTTTTCTTTTGTACTCTACCCAGTTAGGTGTCCAGTCTTTATTTATTCAGATATGTCTCTCATTCATCTCTTCCTTCTATTCTTTGGGCCACCATCTTGGTCCAACCCTTATTATTTTATTATGCCTAATAATTGCCAGTCAACTGGTCTTCTCCTTGCAAATTTTCCCCTACTCTAAACCCTTTGCCTCCAGATAAATCTTCCTAGAGTCAAACCTTGTTAGGACTCCCCAACTCAGATCCCTTTGGTAGCTTTTCATTACCTTTTAATGATAGCCCCTGATTCTTAGAAATTTAGTAGAATAAAAGTAACTTTAATTTTGGAGTCAAAAAGATGTGAATTCAGGTTCTGGCTACTACCCTTACCTGTTATATGACTTTGAACATATTGCTTAATTTTTGTTTGCTCACTTATTCAACATATATTTAACATTAGTAGTGTCCAAGACTCTGTACCAGGTATTAGGGATATAGTAATAAGCCAAGTAGACGTTATCTTTGCTCTGCTGGACCTCATGACATAATGAACTTGTCCTTATTTCTCATAATCCTAATCCTATGTGCTTGTAGCTTTTTGTTTGTGCTATGTGGGGTATTATAATACCATGTAGTATAGTTATCAGCATGTGTATGTTACTGCTTAACTAATTTTTTAGGTTTACTAAAGGTCAGGGACCATGGTCCATTTCCTATAGTACAAGCACAGAGCTACACACATACTGTTGTGCTTTTATTGACCCAAGATTAGTCTTTGACATGGATATAGTGCCTGGTACTTATTTAGAGGTTCCTTTTGTCCTGTCAGAATGATGTTTTTAAAGAAAAGTATCAGCTGTTTAGTTTCTTCTGTTCTAAGAGCTCTCCTTTCCAACGTACTACCCTGTTTATAGCTATTACAAGTAGAACTCACACGCCTAGAACTTGTGCACCTAAGTCTTTAAAAATTGAGAAACTAATCCATTCATGCTTCCTGATAGAAATATTGTCCGTGTGCATACAATGGAATGTTAAAATAATGTTCTTTTTACTAAATAGATTTTTGACTTGGTAATGAACAATGTGCTGTTTTTCTCTGAGAAATAATTCTAAGACTTTAGTTCTGAAGATTATATTTTATACAATTTCATCCCGCTGCTTTTATGTTCCCAGTAATCGTACGTTAAGCATTTGTCCGTCTGAAACAATAGGTTAACTATAGCCAAATTTTAACCATACCTTTCCTCTGCACACAAAATCCTATAAACAGCATGTGATCATATTGCTTCTAGAATTTATGATTGTTTTCTTCCAAAAGGAAGCTAAATTTAGCCTAGTAATTCTACATGCTCCCAAGGAAACAATGCCTGCTGTGATTTCTAGAATAAATGAATCTGAACCACAGTTCCTTTACTTGACTACACAAGAAAGTTTAAATATCAACCTAGTCATTAGCCACAGATAGGAAACCACATTAAACAACCAGCAAGGGGTTAAGAAAGAAATATGCTGTGTTTCTTATTTCACTGCTGAATGAGTCTCACTTAGCCGCTGTGTGGACTTTAATACAGAACATTGTTTGCATCTCATAATGGCTCTCTAAAATTACTCGTTCATGGCTTGACTTCCAAAATTAAACTATGTGGAGTCATGTCCAACCACACAATGCATCTTTATGTGCAACCAGCTCGAGTTTTTGTTTTCATTCTATGTACGATCTCCAGTTAGGAAGTGTTATTTCAGAGAGTTTAACTGGGATAGTTCTCTTTTTCAGTTTTCTCTTCTCTGTTCCTAATGACAACTAAACCCCTTCTCTCCTTGAACGTGTTTTGGCAGATCAGCTTCACACAATGAAGGTCCCCGCTGTGCTTGCACCTGGCATCCTTGTGCTGCTGTTTACCTGGGTGCTGAGGAGCGATGGGGAATGTAAAGAGGCACTAGCGAAGTCCGAGATGAATGTGAACATGAACTATCAGCTTCCCAACTTCACCGCAGAAACGCCCATCCAGAATGTCGTTCTACATGAGCATCATATTTACCTCGGTGCCACTAACTACATCTATGTCTTAAATGACAAGGACCTTCAGAAGGTGGCGGAGTACAAGACTGGGCCCGTGCTGGAACACCCGGATTGTCTTCCATGCCAGGACTGCAGCAGCAAAGTGAATGTGTCAGGGGGAGTTTGGAAAGATAACGTCAACATGGCCCTGCTTGTGGACACATACTATGATGACCAGCTCATTAGCTGCGGCAGTGTCAACAGAGGGACCTGCCAGCGACATGTCCTTCCACGCAATAATACTGCTGACATACAGCGAGAAGTCCACTGCATGTTCTCCTCACAGGCAGACAAAGAGCCAGGACAGTGTCCCGACTGTGTGGTGAGCCCCCTGGGAGCCAAAGTTCTCCTCTCTGTAAAGAACAGGTTCATCAACTTCTTCGTGGGCAATACCATCAATTCTTCTTACCTTCCAGATCATTCATTGCATTCAATATCGGTGAGACGGCTGAAGGAGACTCAAGATGGCTTTAAGTTCTTAACAGACCAGTCCTATATAGATGTTTTACCTGAGTTCCGAGATTCTTACCCCATTAAGTATGTCCATGCCTTCGAAAGTAACCATTTTATTTACTTTCTGACAGTCCAAAGGGAAACTCTGAATGCCCAGACTTTTCACACCAGAATAATCAGGTTCTGTTCCGTGGACTCTGGATTGCATTCCTACATGGAAATGCCTCTGGAGTGTATTCTCACAGAAAAGAGAAGGAAGAGATCCACAAGGGAAGAGGTATTTAATATCCTTCAAGCTGCATATGTCAGTAAGCCCGGGGCCCATCTTGCCAAGCAAATAGGAGCCAACCTAAATGACGACATTCTCTATGGGGTGTTCGCACAGAGCAAGCCAGATTCTGCCGAACCAATGAATCGATCAGCTGTCTGCGCATTCCCTATCAAATATGTCAATGAATTCTTCAACAAGATCGTCAACAAAAACAATGTGAGATGCCTCCAGCATTTTTATGGACCCAATCATGAGCACTGTTTTAATAGGGTAAGTCACATAGATTCCTCATTTACAAATCCTGACATATAAAGCAGAATAAGCATCATTCTAGGAAAGGTTCTCAAGGGCTTTTCTGTGCTTGGTAAATGGCGAAAATATTTTTTTTTCCAAGAAAATCAGGAAGTTAAATCTTGATTTACAGTTAAAATCATATCTTAAGAAATTAGTGTGATGATGAAAAGAAAATATTTTTTAAACTTGGAATTTGCATGTCTGCAACACATTCTTTTACACTGATGATCATTTGTATTAAGATGAAATGGTATTTTCACATGAAGTGTTAGGGAAAGTCTTGGTGCTTTGATTTACATACAGTAAAACCTAACATCTATACCTCAGGATTTTTCTTGCTAGTCATTTTATCACTTGGTGCTGGAGGAAGAACATCAACTTGGAAGTCCTTTGTGGCCTTGGACATTCCTTGTACTGAACCCAGATTTGCTTATATGGGCCTGGCTGTGCCTTTGAGCAAAATGACCACTATGATCATAATTGAACAAATAATATAGCTTATCCAAAGTTTGACTTTGAAAACATGTGTCTCACTTATCATGAGACATAAAGGTTATAATTGTTATCAGGAAGAACAATAACTATGTCCTTGATAAGAGACAGTACATAATTTTGCTGAGGCATATCAAGAGCGTATGAATTCAGAAACATTTATTGACTTTTGCTGAAATGTCTGGGATACTTCCCTAGATGAAAACTCTAGATGGCTTTTTATGAAGCTTAGGGAAATACTTCTGAGATAGTCAATTTATCTTTTGATGAAGTAAAGACAAAATTCCCTCCTCTCCCTTCCAAAGTTTACCAATATTCATAGTATACACATATATCCCAATTAAAACTTTTTTCCCCAGCACCTGTTTAATATATTTTGCAAACTTTAAGAAGCAATGGGATTCCTCAGAAGCTGCCCCTTTTCTTCACTAGAAAATACAGAAAAGGAAGCAAAAGGACTATTGGAAACATGGGATTAGGAAAAAGAAGTGTAAAATTAAAAGCAATGCTGAGAAAACACATCCATTAAGCTACTTCACAAACACAAGTTTAAAAAGTTCTTATAAGGCTTCTACAGCACATGATGTTGCTATTTAAACATTAATCTGTTAAAAATTAAAAAGGGACTTGACTTTACAAGGGTATAGTGATATGTTATCATATTGTTTTATTTTGTACATTTCAGTCTCCAGATGTGAAAGTACCTATTAATTCTAAAAATTCTTAAAACTCATTTGAACTTTATTCTACCCCTTTGACATTTTTTCGTGTCCCAACAGGAACAACAAGGTGGGATTATCTATTATCTAAATTCAGGTCAGTTTTGTTGCCCAGGAAAAATGCCCAAGATGCACTAGCCACACCTGAAACCATTATCACTCCCATCACAAAAATTCTTGTGGCAAACAAGGTGGAATGTTCCAACATAGTCTTCTTACAAGGGAAGCCAACTTTTGCACTGGCCCAATTCCATAAAGAAAAATATTTCAAACCTTCTCTATTTTATTTGCCTGTTTACCTTCTCTGATTACTAAAGATCAAAATTCTTTTGAGACTGAGACTATGCATCCCTTGTTTTCATATAACTGGTTCACAGAAACACCTCAGAGTGTTGCAATAATCAGCATATAATCAGTTCCCAGATTTATCTCATAATGAAAGCAAGAAGAACCAAGCATCACCCAAAAACAAAATGATTTACAAGATGGAACCTGTTTAGAGAGTGTCTAAGAATTAAGATCACTCTATTCAGTCTTGGCATATTAACTTGATTAGGTATCAGGTAACCCTTCTAGTAATTTCTTGGAATGGATTATTATTTTGGTATGAAGTTTGGTGGATAAACAACTGTATTGTAGTTTGTTATTAACACACCTATATGAAGATACATACATGTATCTCTATTATAACTATGTGTGGGTTCTGTGGACCACCTTAAGGAAACTGTGTCTCTGATGAAAGCACAGTCTTAAAGGGCTTTTCTGGCCCTTCTTGAGCCTCCTGCCATGTGCAAAATGTGTTTCTATCCCAGGATCATAGAAGACTGCCACAGCAGAGCCTTCTTTTTTCATGAATGTGTCTATGCAAACTTTTTACATATATCTTATATCTATGACAGAAGCCCTCTTTTAAGTTATCTTATAATTCCCAGAGCACATCATTTCACCTATAAATTATTTGGACTTCAAAACTCTTTGTCTTCAAACATGATGCTGTCCCTGGGGAGTTATCTCAAGCTGCAGGTGACCATTGATGGAATACCAGTCCTGTCAATTATGCCAGTTGTTTTCTAAGAGTATATTTTTAATTCCCACAATGTAAACATTTTCTATGTTGCTTTTGAAAGTGATTCTTAAAGGGTTTGTTTACAGTGTTTCCCAAACCGAGAAGTATAAGATTACATACCACAAAAACTACTAAATCAGCACTAAATATCTATACTGCCTTTTTTTTTATTCATCCATCGGTGAATCTCTATAAATGTCCTAGTTTAGCATTTATTGAAGTCGCATAGTTACTAAACAGCACATTACTATTCAAAATATGATTAAGAAAATGCCCTCATAATATGAAGACTTTGTAAAGACACAAATTTGGAGAGTAAAAACCCCATATCTTCTGTTTGGGGATCAACAGTATTAAAAATTCACTTAAGGGCTGGAGGTGTAGTTCAGTGGTCGACCACTTGCCCTGTATGTGTAAACCCCTGGGTTTGATCCCCACCACCAGCTAGGAAAACACAACAAAACAAAACAAACTCTGTTACTTTGCTTGATATTAACTATAATCTCCAACAGCCACATATAAGGGATTTATTTGCATGATAAGCCCAGAAAATAAGATGAGCACAACAGCTCATCTCCTGCAAATGAGAATCAACATTGAATAGAATTTGTTTTAAATCCCCAAATCAGTAATGATTCACTTCTGTAAGTTATAGTATATAACTTACTGTGATAGTATATAACTAGTATATAACTTACTAAGTATATAGTATATAACTTATATATACTAAGAGAGGTGGAATGATACATTTTGAAAATATTTTTAATCAAACTTAAAATAAGAAGGGGTTCTTGAAATAAAATAGTTAACACATTACACTGTTTTTCTTGCAGTCCCATTATCAAAGTTTTGCTCTATGTGTAAGCATTTGAAAGAACTAAAGTAAACATGTAACAACATTTAGGGCACCAACATCTAGGTCATCTTAATGACCAAATGATGGAGCAACTGAAAAGGGAAAATGTAACATCTGGTGCCACACACACCTGGTGTAAGTTCTGACTTATCGCATACCCACTCTGTGACTATTGCCACATTACTTAATTTTTAGAGCCCAGCTATGATTTGTAATGTGCAGATAATAATACCTGCTTCACAGAGTCTTAAGCAAATTTGGGATACTGCATATTAAGTACCTGGCACAATAAAATGACCATAAATTTAGGCCTTTGGGAGTCAGCATGACCCAATGGCAGGCAACTAATATCAGAGGTATGGGTTCAAGTCTATACTCCATCATTTTCTACCTGGATGGCCATGGGAGCATTATTTTCATTCTCAGAACCCATGTTCCTTTGTGTGGGACTTCCTTTGTGTGGACAAGTGCCCAATGTCTGTAAAAAGTCCTTAGTCCTTGACACATAATAAAATAGCAGCTATCTTTGTAAGGAATACTTGTGTAAAGTAAAGCAAATTCAAATGCTTGTACTGTTTTCTGGAAGCTTCACCTTCTGGTTCCATTGTTCCTGAGCGTCATTGAGTGACCCACCTCCATAATGCTTAATTTGTTAATGCCTCTTAAGATTAAATATTTTAAGACAAAACAAAAGGATGGGGTGAGGGTTAGTGGTGGTTTAAAGTCAACAGAGGGTAGAGAGAAAGACAGTTGAATCAAAATGATACTGTAGTCAGGATAAAGGCGTAAATTCTGCTTCTTAACCTGACTTAAAATTCCAACTACTATATTATGCTACATACTATAAGTTATACTGTGCATGATTAAAATCATATTTTGCATAATAATATTTTGCAGCTTTAGAAAAAAAATCAGCCTCATAGGTTGTTTGTGTTAAGCTTCCTTGTTTTTAAATATCATTTATACTCAAATCCAAAGACTAGCCAACTGCTTCCCAAAATAGAGGAAACTTAAGGTAGTAATTTTCCATCTCCGTTTGAGTGCCAGAGTTAAAGGGTCACTGCTCAGAGCCATCAAAGGAAGAAAGCAGAATGATTAGGACAATTTCGAATGAGAACAAAAATCAAAACAAGATGCAAACAAGGAATATTAGGAATAGGCAGAAAGCTAAACATACAGTGATGTTTCTTTATTACTATTATAAAGATGATAGATGAGTTAAATTGAGTTACATTTAAGTTGTAATGGAAGAAAATAATTGCAGCCTTCCATCAGGAAACCACAAGGACCATTATTGATCTGTCATCCTCAGGGCATGTCTCGTAATATTTAATAAAATAAACAAAGATTTATAACTCTTTATAGGCCATATATCTATAATCTCTCACACCATTTGAACTGGGAGTGTGGAAGTCAATGTTACAAATAATGTCCAGGTAATTATACTGGGTTGGCATGCCTTATTTAAACAAGCTAGAACTCTCAAGAGAAAAAAATTTGTATTAGGAATGAAAAATGTGAAGTCAAATTACAAAGTTGTTTGTTTTTAACTTCCTGTGCTCTGAAATAAAAGTGATCCTATATGAAAAAAACTATTATTGAGGATTCTTCATTCTTGATATTAGATAGTCCTCCAAACCTAAATATTAAATATCTTGGCTATATGCCAAATATAATTGCTACCAAAGCAAAATTTGCAAGAAAGAACACCCTCACAGTATAAGGATTGTATATGTTTTTAAAAAACTCAGTAGAAATTTATCAGTTTTTTCACTTGATTTTGTCCTCTAGACTCTATTCTCCACCAGTATGAGGGAGTTGCTGCTTCCTAGTTTATTTGAAT